AAAAAAACTAATATCACAATGTAAAATATAAGATTTTATAACTAATGTGAAGGTAAAGGTTTGTTACCCCATTTTCAGGTTTTAGAAGAACAGAAATATATTATTCTAATACAATTAAGAAGATATTTTTATTCCCCCAGCAAGAACTACTTTCTAACTTGTCAACAACTGCATTTCTCAGCCATGTGACCTGACTGACTGCACACCAGTGCTTCCTTCCAGTCGCCCCTCCATCCTCCGCCGCCCTGGAAGGCCATCTTCATTCCAGCAGAGCAGGCATCCCTCAGGGCCCCCAAGGGCTCCCATGCAGGCCCTAGCCCTACTCCTGGGGAAGAGAAAGACACTCCCTCAGATGAGCTTCCTGTCACTGGTGAGGTGGGCGCCTTTCAGGAGGTCCCCCAATGTTTCCATGTTTCTGCTTCCCCAGCTGCGAGAGGGAAGCAGTGTCTGCTGGGCCCATCCCACTGGGAGATGGGGGGAAAGTCAGGGCATGTAGCAGCACCTTTTAAACTGTGGACATGCTACGCATGAGCCAGGCAGCACATTTCATCCAGCACTGAGTTTAAAAGGCCCCAGGGAGGGGCTCCAGACTACAGAAGTGACCACAAAGCACCCACCACCCAGCCACAGGAGAGAAGCCAACTGCGCCCTGAGGAAAAGCCAACCTTTTGGTTGTGATGACCTGGCCAAACCCCAGAGGACCACCCACACTGCCCAAGCAGGACACTTTAACTTCTCTGTGAATTCAGGAGGAGTCAGAGCATGATCTGGGCCCGGGGTCTAAGCTATGAAAGACAAAGGTAGAAAGCAGTTTCTGATAATGTGATACTTGCCAAGTATGCAAATTTCATAAGTAAAAGAAAAAGGAGCGTGCTACTTCTTTTTCTGTGCTGTCTGCCTTTTTTTTNTTCATAAGTAAAAGAAAAAGGAGCGTGCTACTTCTTTTTCTGTGCTGTCTGCCTTTTTTTTTTAAAAAAAAGAGCCAGCCCATTACTTTTGTTTTTTTTCTGGTTGAACTTTTTATTAATCAATCAATCAATTAATTAATTATTTGGAATATTCATGAGATACAAATTACCAGAAATTGCTTTTGTAGCCTGTGTCCCCACCCAATTATCCCCCAACCTCCCTCTGCCTCCCCTTCTTCACCCAACTCCACTGCCTCCCCTTCTTCACCCAACTCCACTTTGTAGCCCTAGGAATGTTTCTTCACCCAACTCCACTTTGTAGCCCTAGGAATGTTCCTTCCGTCTGTAAGACCACCGCTCTACTGTGGTCTTTCTTTCCTTCCTTTCTCTCTTAGCTCCCACATATGAGTGAGCACATGCAGTTTGCTTATTTCTCTCTGTGCTTTGCTTATTTCACTCAACATAAGTTTCTCCAGGTTCACCCATGTTGTTGCAAATGGGAGTATTTCATTCTTTCTTATGGCAGAGTAGTATTCCATGGTGTATGTATACCACACTTTCCTTATCCAGTCATCCATCAATGGACATTTAGGTCGGTTCCATATCTTGGCTATTGTAAATAGAGCTGCGATGAACATGGGAGTGTGGATATCCCTTTGACACGATGATTTCCATTCCTCTGGGTATATACCCAGAAGAGGGATTGCTGGATTGTATAGAAGATCTATCTGTAGTTGTTTGAGAAACCTCCATACTGTTTCCATAGTGGTTGTACTAATTTACAGTCCCGCCAACAGTCTAGGAGTGTTCCTTTCTCTCCACACCCTCGCCAGTATTTGTTATTCACTGTCTTTTTGATTATAGCCAGTCTAACCGTGGTGAGGTGGTATCTGAATGTAGTTTTAATTTACATTTCCCTGATGACTAGTGATGTTGAGCATTTTTTCATGTATCTGTTGGCCATCTGTATGTCCTTCTTTGAAAAATATCTATTCAGCTCCTTTGCCCACTTTTTAATTAGGTTTTTTTTTTTTTTTTTACTGTATAATTGCTTGAGTTCTATGTATGTTCTGGATATTAATCCCT